GGAGAGTCAGGTGCCTCATAAAGGAGATCTAACAATCAACAAGCTGAGCAGGGAGCCACCTGGAGTCAACCAATGTCCAGCACAGGGATGTGTTTGAAAACCCTGCCATGGTGCTTAGGTACCTCTGTCAGGGATACAACACAGATGCCTCCATCCACTTGGGACCAACAGCCCAGAAGCCAGAGGGTAGGTGCCTACAACTGTTCTCTGAAAGAACTATGCAGTTCAGTCTTTGTAAAACACAAGTAGAGAAGGAGCTGACTTAACCCACTGTTAATATAACAGCACATGGCTAGAACACTTCCCCAGGACACTTCTGTATTTAAGGCCTCCCTCAGTCACAGGAGTTCAAATCTACTTCTTCCACCTGCAAGAAAAATGCTCTATCAGTGGTTCTCAACCTTTTTAGACTCAAGGCATCCCTTGGAAAGTGTCAAATCTACGTTTTCATTGGATTTTTGATTAAAGAAAAATAGGAGAGCCATTCTTCTGTTGAAAAAAACTTTACTGTCAAAGCCCCCAAGGCCCGGAACAGACTCCCCGCAGAGGTAGTGCAAGCACCTACTCCAGACACTTTTAAGAAACTTTTGGATGCTTATCTTGCTGCCATCCTTTGACCCTGGCTGATTTCCTGCCCCTGGGGCAGGGGGCTGGACCCGATGATCTTATGAGGTCCCTTTCAGCCCTAATGTCTATGAAACCTCTGAAATCTCTGAAAATACTCAGAAAGACCCTAGCAGGTCAGAGTGGTTTTAACACTATGGATTCCAATTAGAAATCTCTCGTGAATCCTACCTGCACATCTACCAGTGGTAACTTAGCATGGCAGCCCACAGCACCCTTGATAGCATCTCAAAGCATGGTGGGGTGCCGCAACAGGTTGAGAATCACTAGACTATAGATTAGGCTGTATGGGGCACACTACATGCCTCCTATTGTTGCAGGGCCACTGTGCAGCAAAGAATGAAAGACTGAAGGGGCCAAAAGAAGAAGCGAGCAAAAAGGAGCCAGACTCCATAGTCTATGAGTTAGGGCAGTGGTTCTTAATCTTTCTAAACTCAAGACACCCCTCAAAAATGCCAGCTCTTAGTTTTCACTCAATTTTTAAATTTGCAAATGTTTCTGTTGCAAAGAACTCATAAAGCCCACAATGGCTCAGAATGTTTTTAATGCTACAGAGTCTTATTTTAAATTATTAGGTTTGTCTTGTGAATTACGTTTGCACACCTAACAGTGTTAACATTGCATAGCATTCTGTGGCACTCCAAAAGGATCTCATGGCACCTGTGCTGAGAATCACTGAGTTAGGGCATTCAGCTGTGACAGGGAGCCCTGGATTATTTCCCTGGGTAGAAACTGGAACCCAGTGTTTCCCTTGTAAAATTTAATCATGAGACAAGAGTTCAATAGGCAGTGTCATTCTGGGACTATTCTGGTTTTGTAAAAGGTCAGAAATGGTTCCTTTAGCATTATTTTTTTACCTGTTTTGACACAGTATACTTGATATGAGGGAAACCATTCTCCAGACTGGCAGGTGATGTATTTGTAATCATTGGTGAGACTGTAACCAGGATCACAATAGAACTCGACCACAGTTCCATGGTTGTAACGTTCACAAGGCCGTGGATGGCATATATAATCTCCATGAGTCACCATCGGAGGTAGTGGACAAACTTGGGCAAAAAGAAAGAGGAAAAGAATCACCAAAGTACCTGGACTATACGGAATAACTTCAGTGCATAGATTTAACATGATACCCTGTAGTACTAAATTCAGACTTCCTGTATAACTGAACCCCAGACAAACACCCTTATATGCTACCAAATGCTGTCAGTAGCCTGTATTCTGACTAGGAATGCTTGTTATCTCTTGCCCTGTGTGCAGCGGGGAGGGTAGGAAAGAGAGGGGGAGTAGGCTGTATGAATATGTAGATGTGAGCCAGAATTACAGGCAGAAAACCAGCATCACACGATCTCTTTCTGTGGCAAGTGATTCTTTCGATTAGGCATCCAGAACTCAGCACTACAGTCCCATTTATGCATATATTATTAACATTACTAAATGCATTACGTGCAATAATTACAATCTTAGATATCTTCTGCTATAAAAGCAGCTGCATGTGCTGTGAGAGATATAGGACAGACAGCATTACTTAGCACTCTAAAGTGTATTATTTTAAAATTGGTGTCCGAATATGACATCCTTACATAGTACCACCTTACTTTGTGAATACTCCCTCTGACTTCAATGGGCCTGCTTATGAAACATGGTATTAAAGGTAATGATTATGGATTCTAGCCCTGTGTTAATAAAGGATGCTACAATGGTTATGGGTCCACATTGTAATATATATATATATATTATATTACAATGTGGACCCATAACCATTGTATATATGTTTTATATATATATGTTTAAAAAAGACATGAAAATAAACAGAAAATGCAGTTTGCTCAATAAACTGAATAACTGAAGGAACATTCTGTAGCAAATAAGCAGTTGCTAAAGACACTCAAAGATGTTTTTGTGTAATAGAGAATAATAATTGATCACTATTAGGTAATGTTTCCAAGATACAGCAAAACTTGGCTGCTGTTTTGTTTTATAAAATGGCTACACATTGAAACAAGAGTCTGAAGTATCTGAATTAGTTGAACGGGTCAGTTTATTTCCCTTCAAAAATAGTAACAAACTAGATCAGTGCCCCATCTACAGGCTGCTGTGTTGATTGCATGCCTTTTATGCAGCGAAGACCTACTGCATTGTTTTAAATAATGAAAATGCCATTTCTCTAAATAGAATCTCCCCAGAAATCACAATTCAGTTGGTTCTCTCTGAGTCTTGATACTCGAATAATATATTTCAGCAGTATAAAAAATAAATCTACTGCTTCCCTCCCAAAACCAAGTCATTAAACGAGTCTTCAGGAGAGTCTGATTATTATGTGTAGCATTGTCAATCCCCCTGGCTCTGGAGAGATGGTCTTATTTGCATTTTTACTGGCAAGACTTAATATTAACTAATTCACACAAAAAGCAATGCTCTGCCTACTTTGCAAATGGACTGAACCCATGGGAAGCAGGACTGATTTATGAGGAAGTCAACAAGAATTCTGAAGAGCTTTACTTCTTTGCTCAGAACAATTCCTCAAAGGGGCATCAAGATGGCAAGGGAAGATTTTCTCTCTCCCCAGGGCCAATAAACCGTCACCATATAAACCTATGAAAGCTACAATTCTAGACCATCACCATGAGATCTGGCATATTTTCTTACCTACTTTCATTTTCATCTTCCTTTTTTCCCTGCCATCTAATTTCTCTGCAGTTGGGTTCAAGGCAAGCCTTGCAAGTTACAACAGACTGCCAGAGATGTGTCAATACCTAGCACAATTCCACCAATCAGCAAAATAAAGGCTTCTCATCACAGAGAGCAACTGCTTTGAGAAACAAATTTCTAATCTCTGCCAATACCACCTGCTGCCTCTCCAGACACAAGAGTCCCCAGGCTATTAATGACATTAGGGACTAAATCAATCTTTCAAATGAAAAAGATTAAAGCACCAGTCTCCTAGTATTCTAAGTAAGCCCAGTAAGAAGTCATTTTTCAACAGCAAGATTAAAAACAATACATTTTAGTCTCAACTCAGATATGATGCTGTCACAACTTGCTTATAATGGGAGATATCTTTTATTAAGCTCTGAAAACAGGGGCATTAATCTTAATGTGCTCTAGTTTCTTAATAAGAAAACTGACGCTGGTACCACCACCATGGTTATTCTTCACATTTCAAGGGAATCTCTCATGTTGCCTCTCTGTTTCTGCAAACAATTCTCTTTTTGTCTGTGTAGAAAATTTGTCTGCAGTATAAGTAAAATGACACAAATCTATTTTAAACACTCTTGCTGCCAATGGCTATTTATTAAATACTTATTATGAGCAACAGATGGGGAAAGAATGGAGTTGGTTTGAAAATGAGTGGGTTAATTCAGTACTCTGTTTTTACTTCGGTTACTCAAGAAACTGAGGGTTTTTCCCTTACTTCAGGCCTGCTTCACTAATGAATTTTATGCTAATCCAGTCTAAGAAATCCTCAGCACTGCAGGATCTGCATGGAACCCATGCAGGCCAGTGTTTAGATTTGAGCTTGCCATTTGAGTTGTTGATGGTGTAATCAATGACCCTCAAATTCTCAGAGCCATTTTCAAATCAAACAAACTACATTACAAACAGCCTTTTAACATCACTCAGTTATTGAGGATTGAGCAACTGGTCATATTACCAGTTCTTTTATCAGCACACTTTTTCTCAATACGTGCAAGAATAATAAAAACAGCACTATTGTAACAGGTCTTTTCCAGAAGCTGCTGAACACCTTTGGCTTCCAATGAACAGGAGAGTGCTCAGATCCACACAGGATCAGATACTAAACTACACAAGATGTGTTAATGTGCGTTAAAATAGTAAAATTAGGCATGATTAGTTAAAGTGCATTACTGCAGGTGTAGAAGTGACCTGGCACTAACTTTAGTGATGAGTCTGCCCAGCCACTAGGGGCATATGGCAGAGCTTCAGGGACCTGTCATTAACTTTAGTGTCAAGTGCATTAAATTTAGTGCCAACTCCCTGCATGTGTAGACACCTGCTAAAAAAAAAATCACTTAATAAGCATTAGCTTAATGCATATTCAATTTAGTCACGCTTAAATGCACGTGTAGACGCGCCCTATGAATACTTAATTATAATTGGAATCCTGTGGATCTTTGTAGCTTTTCAAAATCTGTTTCCTGCAAGCTGTCACATACCACACTAACATTCGTTACACGGCTTAAAAGGCACTGTCAAATCAAATACGGCCCCAAAGTTTACCAAACTTAACACTGATCAAGACATTATAAAATTAAGCATTCCAGTGGACATCCAAAAAAACAATCAAACAATCTCCCTTATGTTTGCAATCCAGATTTCAGCCTGGTGTTGATGCATAAGTCACAAAATGATACTGAACACAAACTAATTAAAACAAACAAAAATGAGGTGGAAAAACCTATTTCATCCTCGAAGACAAGATAAATGTGCAAAATAAACAAACAGAGACAAGTCTATTCCACTTCAAAGATTCTTTTAGCTTTACAAATCTGTGGTGTTATTTGGAAAGGGTATTTTAAATACTGTATTATTTTTAATGTGTAATATTTTTAATTGTAACATCAATAGATTTATTCATGTCTATAATTTCATAATTCTGTTAGGATTTATTACTGAAATTACAACCTTCAGCTTGGAGAATCTAAAATCACCATCTTTTCTGCAAACTGGAGTTTAAAAATGACAGTTTGAGGGTCTCAATTCTTAACTAGGAAGCTCTTCAGTCATGTGTGTAATGCATGTCTTATCTGCCGCTGATTTTGCAGTGTGCCACACTGGGTAGCCTTGATCAAATTACCTTTGTCTAAAGACCCTTGCCTTCCTGCATCTCCTGAGAATTCAGTGCTTCTGGCAATGGTCACAGATGGTAGAAGGTTTATTCTTAGTTTGGATGATTTGCTGGGTGTTTTTCAGCTGACTCATTAACCAGACAAACACCCATCTTTCCCCCGACAGCCGAAACAACAAACATGTCTGTATAACCGTGGTTCTCAACCTTGTTAGCCTGAAGGCACCCTGCTATAATTTTTCTGAATTTAGCAGCACCTCAGTTGAGAATCACCGGTAGAAGTATAACACCCCCCCACCCACACACACACACACACACTCCCTCCTGGGATGCTCAGTACTGCAGCTGGTCAATGAAGCCTAAGGGATGTGTTCTCCATTTAATCTGATAGCCTTCCACAACTGTTCTTAATGACAGCAGGAGCTGCATGCTCTCAACAGAGATAAATCAAGCCTCCCTACTCTCCATTGATTTCAGTGAGGGATAATGACAGCTCAGTAACATTTTGGACGTGCATAAAACCTTGAGAATCAAGTCCTTCTAAAGCTTCACCTATGCTAGCTATGAGCAAAGCATCCATTTAAGTTAGAGATTTGTATAGAAAGAAATGACAAAAGATGTTCTTGTTTACAGTGTGTGCAGTATAAACACACACAGGAGCTGTCAACTAGTGATGTGTTTTCAGGCACTGGGCCCTTGAATTTTACTTTCTAATCCAGTGGTTCTCAACCAGGGTTCCACAACACCCTGGGGTGCCACCAGATCCTTTTCTGGGTGCTGCAGTACACAGCTCCTGTATGATAAAATGCTATAAAGTAAGTACAGCACCCCATGCCTGCCCCGGCATCCCTCAGACAAATAGCACCCCTGGGTGCTCCTCTGAGGACTGCTGCTGCTGTTCTCCTGCACCCTGACAGCCCCTGTGCCATCTACCCCCATGCTCTGAGCACCATGTTCTGCCACGGGCAGACAGGCATACACAGGGCTATGCTTTTCAGCTTGGCTCATCCCCCCATGCTCCTTCCATGCTGTTGTGCAAGTCCCTGGAGGAGCAGCCTTACTGGGGGTCACCCTTATCCCCTCCGGTACAGACCATGGCAGGGAGAAGGCAGGCAATAGAAAGAGCAGGGCACAGCAGGATGAGGTCTTGCCCCCACCACTCTCACCTGGCACCAGCCTTTTTAGCCTCAACAAACCCCTCTGTAACTTTTCTGAATTTAGATTCTAGCTCAGTGATTCTCAACCAGGGTGACACTAAATTAATTCAAGTTATAGAGAGCCAGGGGTCTAACCTGTTCTCTGTGTGTGCATGTGAAAATGCTGACATGCGAGTGTAAAAATACGTGTGTGTGCATGCATGAGAGCGAGAGAGAGAATGTGCATGTGTGTGTGAACATGAATGTGTGTGTGTGTGTGTGTGGAGAGAGCAAGAATAGTAATTTTCAGTGATACCAAGAAAGGCCTGAATTATGCCCCTCTCCTTGTTAGTCTGAATCATGGTTATTATCTGTTGAGAGAAACAACAAGAACGCAACTAAGCTGGACATAAGCCTAGGCTGAGCACTAAAATTGGATTCATTTTCAGTGTGGCACTGTCAAATACCTAGAATGAGATTATGTGCTACATCTCCTGATGGAAACACCATGGCATGCACATAACCCACGAAAAGGGAGAAAGGCAGAAAACCAGGTGGCTTTACACCAACAGGCTGCTCTGACTTGTGGCAGTCTCCACACAGTTACCTGCAGGCTACCCTGCCATTCAGATTGTCATAGCAGTCAGCACTATGACCATATCCCCAATACCAGGCATTGGGAAGTGGCAGGGGTTACAGGGTGAAGCCACTTACTACTTAGATTCTACA